ACAAATCGATCCTGACCCCTGAACTTAAGCCCGAAATCCCTTCAACTACAAACCCTACGCCCTCAACCTTAAACCCTAAACCCGAAACCCCTAAACCCTAAACTCTAAACCCTATAAGCCCTACACCCTCAACTGCCTAAGCCCTACACCCCTACAACCCTTTTACCCAAAAGCCCTAAAAAATATGCACCAGACCCGCGAACCTTCAGCCGCAAACACAACGAGGCCTTTAAGCCAACCTGCGCCCCAAAGCGCCGTCCCCTAAGAGGCGGAGTGAACAAAACGGGCGGAGGACCCCAGCCCGAAGACTATAGAAACGTGAAACCCTCGAAGCCCCCCCAATTTTTTAGGGTTTATAAGTTTATAGGGTTTAGGGTTTAGGCCCCTCCCCCCCTCCCCCTCCGCCCTCCGGAAAAACCTTGCAAGGTCCGGCAAGGCGATTGTGCAACCCTAGACTAAGCCTAGTTCCTTTTTATGGTTTATATTTAGAATCCTATAAGGTAGTCCCAAAAAGGAACTACTTAGGGGCCTACGGGTAACCCCCAATCCAGAAACCGGAAACCTGAGCCTGAATCCACGTGGAGGCTGGCTTGGATGATGGCCCGTTTCGAGTTCTTGTGGCAAGCTCTATCGAGTTTAGGGTTTAGGGTTTATAGGGGTTTAGGGTTTAGGGGTTTAGAGTTCAGGGTTTAGGGTTTATAATAGGGGTTTAGGGTTTAGGGTTCCGGTGTCGAGAACAATCCCTCATTACATGGAGATAGGAAAGCACTCAAGACCCACAAAGCCTTCTGGGCGAGGGTCCGGTGTGCTTGGCCAAGCCGAAATCGCCCTTATTGGGAGACTGGTGCTGGCTAGTGTTGGAAGGATTTGAGGGCGAGAGCTCAAGGCGTTCAGTAGGCAATGGGTAAGCAATGTAATTATTATACGATACTGTACTTTTCTAGACGTTTCTAGACTAGACTAGAGTATACTATGGGCTGTTTGAGCAAGAAGCCGCGAGCCTACAACCTCGTCATTCCTACCGCCCAAGCCTTTAACCATCTAAACCACAGCCACTAGGCAAATCCCACATATCAAGCTCGCAAATGCTTTAAGTTATTCGTTTTGTTAAGGTTTCTACCTAAATACTGTACTTTTTGCAAATTCAGTATTGTACAAAATGACTTGAAGACTTGAGGACCTATATATTTGTGGCAGAAGCATCCGGATATACGAGCAAACAGGATATTCGGAAATGACTTAAAACAATAATGACTTGATAAGTATAATGTGCTGAAGACATTAACCGACAATATACCGTAACATACATATGTTGAAAACTGTATGATGACAAATGATGTAAGGAATGGAGAACTAGTTGTTGAAATTATAGACAGAAGAACAGTAGAAATTGTGAGAAGAGAGGAAGAGAAGAACGTAGAAAACAAGGAACCAAAAGGAATGGTAACGCTTTATGCAGTAATGAACGGATAAATAGTAGTAGCAGTTCACTGATAATAATTACTAGAATCCTATTCATTTCTTGATTTTTGTGTCAATATTAAGCTTCTTTTCCATATGTCTAAATGCTTCTGGTATTGTCTTTTTCCCATATATATATATATATCTCTCTCTCTCTCTCTCTCTCTCTCTCTTGCCCAAGTCTGCGGGTTTTTCAATATGCTTCCAAGATTGATTTGCTCCGTGTCTTGCTATTTGTTTTTGCTTTCGCTCTTCGTCTTTGTGCTTTGTAAAATCACTATAGCCAGTTGCTCCAAATGAAAAAGTCTTTTCTACCATCAATGACGCATCATACTTCTTCCCTGTTTTGGAGGATGTTTAAGTATAACTTCTGTCATATGATCATATATAGATTACAATTATACAATAAATAAAATCTTTTGCATGAGGACTACGGGTTCTAATCTTTGGGGATTTTTTTCAGAGGAGGGTCTGAGTCTAACCCCTAAGCTCGTTGAGGACACCTCGCCAGAGGCTCGCTAGGCATTCCCGAACTAGTTGAGGCTAAGCTTTGCTTTGGTGGAATTGGATTTTAGGGCTTCGGTAAAGTTCTTGGTTTAGGGTTTAGGGTCTGGGGTTTAGGATTTAGGGTTTTTTGGGGGGGCTCTTCGGATTTGGGAGGCGTTGGGTGTGGATTTGGCAAGTGGCTCTGGTTTAAATTGTGATGTAAATGTCAGGTAAGGGTCTGACCCCAAACCTCGGAATACTTGGTTGAGTTTACAAATTCCATATTTTACAAAGTGATTTAAAAGTCTTGCGCACGTAGTAAAGTTGGAAGGGGATGACCGAAGACATTAAAACATGTCTTCAATACAGTAACACCTATTCGTCTATAATCCATGTTGGGGTTGTATTTGTGACTTTCGTGTAGAGCAGGATAAGCTAAAGAGAAACGAAACCCCCAAACAATTGAAGTCAAATAATTCTGAGAAGGTCAACACATATTAGCAAAAGCAAAATGAAGAGTATGCCGATGAAACAAAGGAAAGGAATTATAAAATATAGACAAAGCGAAGACGGAAAAGCCAAGATAAGATAATCTAGCCAAATGGTTTACCATTGCGAGTTATGCGGTTATGACATTGAAACATGTAAGACAACACAACTCGAGAAAGCTAAGAACCACCAATACTTCTTACAGAACAGCCTGAACAATGAAGCTTTGTAACGACCTAACAGAAGGGACAAGCATAATTGTATTGAATATTTTTGCTGCTTGAAATGTAAGAGAAAAAAGATATATTATGAACGGTATAAGCATGACCTCAACAAAGCGGGGTAAATTGGTTTGAGTTGTATGGCATAAAACGATTAACTTAAAGCGTTTGCGAGCTTGACATGTGGGATTTGCCTAGTGGCTTTGGTTTAGATGGTTAAAGGCTGGGGCGGTAGGAATACGAGGTTGTTTGCTCGCGGCTTCTTGCTGTTTGAAGGGCTTCTGGGTTAGGTGTTGAGGTTCAGGGCTAGGCAAGGGGATTCATGCTTTAGGGTTCAACTGCAACGGTAGCGACACGCCGTCGTTGTAATTCAGGGACTCGGGTTGGTGGCATATTAGGCTTTAGAGAGCTTGGGGGCCTCAATTGTGAACCCACCTACCCACTTACACCGATCTTGCACCTACCGAAGCCCTCACCCGGTAACCCGAAATCGCCAAACCAAGGCACCAATTTCACTGTCGAGTCCTCCAGCTGGGTCGCATCCTCGCGAGTTCCCGAAGCTTCTCTCAAGTGTTATACGGCTATGGTGGCAAAGGCTATAGCTGTAATTTAGGGAGAAACCCTATATTCTACTACACAGATTTACAAGCCTCTGGTAATACGGGATATTGCTATAAGCACTATCCTAGCTGCGGTGTTTTTGCGTCTCGGGCTTTGCGGTTCTGTAACACAATTGTAAGTCTGTATATAGAAACCCCACAGTCTACTATACAGGTACTTAGGAAACCTTAAAAGAACCCTCAAAGGGAGCTGAGCCCTGAAGCCTTAAAGGAACCTTATACGGTATTTAGGACCCTTTTGGGGGGCTCACGGTTTAGGCTCAAGGGTCTGAACAGTTTGGGAGAAAGAGGTCAGGGCGGTTTATATAGGGTTTAGGGTTTAAGGCTTAGGGTTTAGAGTTTAGGGTTTGGGGTTTGGGTTACTGCTTTAAGCCTCAAGCCGCAGCCCAAAAAAGTAGGTAAAACAAATGCCCAGGACCTGTTTAAAGGCTACTATTCTACACACCTTTTTAGGGTCCAGGTGAAAGCTAAACCCCTCAACCCCAAACCGACAGAAGTTCAGGGATTCTTGCGTGCAACTTCCACTGATATGGAGAGGCTTGCCAAGGAGGGGGTGCAACTCGGGCTTGCAGATCCTCGAACTCCTTAACATCGGCTCTAGGGATCTAACAAATTTAGGATTGCAGGTAGAGCTCCTCAAAATCGGGTTTAAGGTTGTAGTTTTAGGGTTTAAAGTAGAGCTCCTTAAAATCGGGTTTGGGGTTCTAGGGTCTTGGTAGAACTCCTTAGAAATCGGGTGTCGGGCTTTAGGGTTCAAGATAGAACTCCTTGACATCAGCTTGGCTTAGGGGTTTGGGCTAGCTTCTAGGGCTTAAAAGTAGAGAAAACGTCCACTCGCAGACCCCAATCACGAAAGCCAGAGCCCTGCTAGCCCAAGCCTAAACGCACACCCGGACCCCCAAAGTATGTGGAACCATAGACTTTTATAGGTATTGGGCCAGTCTTTTAGCTACTTTTTGGGGGTTCCGGACTAAGGCAGGCACAACCTTCCATCTGCAATTCCATCAACAGTTGCTTACACACCCAGACGCTACAAGTTCAGGCTGCTTGGTTTTGGACGTCACAGGGCTCTGGAAAGGCCCCATAGCACCTCGCTGGATGTAGGAGCTGAAGTGTTGAACACTTTCGGGTGTTATATGATGGTTTCCGATTTAAGGTCAACCTCCACCGAAACCCCAAACCCCAAAAGCTTACAAACCCTTAGACAGAACTTGCTTCTTTCAGTCAGAAGCTCGCCATCGGCGATCAGGAAATTGTCCAGCTTCAAGTCTCGATGAGCGACACCTGACCAGTTTCTTTCATATTACCAGCTTTCACTTGTCCTACAAAGTCCATGCGCTCATATAGTAGATACATTTACACTGGCCCTCCTAAAGTGCCTATGTAGGGACTACTTTGTAAGGCCAAACTATATACGCTTCGGGTACATGGACCCGTAGAGGGTTTCGCGGCTCAGTATGAGGCTCGAAAAAAAAGCTCAATGTAAGCCTTTCAAACAACAAGGAGGCTGATAGAACTTGCCATGCAAAATCCTAGAACCCTAAACCCCCAAACCCCTAAAACCAGTTCCTCGTCCACTGGGGCCGATTAGAGCGGCTGCAACTGAAGATTTCTCTTGGTCAGTACAAATCCCAAGCGGACAAGATCCCCTTTGCGCCTGAACTCTCCAAACCTCATGTGAAGCATGGTGCTTGCTACTCATACATACCTCCGAATAATTAACCCACACCCATCAAAGCCCTACTGTCAACCCCTGGTTCTTTTGGCGAGACATCCTCGTCGCTCAATGGAAATCCCTATAGAACCCTTTCAAGGAACCCTTAAACAAACACCATATGTATGCTAGCTTCAAGTGGTATACTCGGCTCTGAACTCGAGAGCCTTGCGCATGGACGTAGCAGATCCTGAGTGCCAGCAGCCCGTTGCACATCGTGGCATGTGAGATTGCTCTAAACCTGTGTATATACATAGGGGATATATATTGTATGCACTTATTTATATAATTATGTATGTATGTATGCATGCATGCATGCATGCATGGATGTATGTATGTATGTATGTATGTATGTATGTATGTATGTATGTGTAAGTATGTATGTCTATTACATCCATACCTGCGCAAGTACACATGCAGACATGCAGACAAGCAGGCAGGCAGGCAGGCTTGCAGGCAGGAATACTTACGTTCAAACATACACAAGCCGTACACAGGTGCAAGCATGCAAATTTGTACGTACATACATACATACATACATACATACATACATACAGGCTCATGCGATAAATCTAGAACCAGTTTGTACCTGCCAAAATGAACAGTGGGGCCCATTAGAATAGGGTCTGGCCGTAAAGTGAACCATGGTTCGACTTGGACTGAAAGACTTGCACCCAACTTTCCCGACCCCTATAATAGGAAGTTGGAGGTCCAAGGCGCGCCCGCAAGATCTGAGCCATAAGGCTGGAAGCCAAGGCTTCCGTCAGGTGCCCTCGGCGCTGGGGTCTTGGACTGGGCTTTGGGGCTTTAGGGACGATGAGGGTTACCTACAGCCTCCATTGTAGTTCCTGTTTTTGGTTTAACCGATTTTATATTAAGGATCCTAAACGGTAACCCCAGAAAGGACCTGCAATGGAGACTATAGGTAAAGAGCAAAAGGATGAAATAGGGTTGTAGGGTCTTGCACTGTGTGGCTTCTGGGCTTTAGATGCCTGCACTACCACGCCCACCCGCGAATTGCAGACTGGATGCCGAGCGTGATAATGCGATCAAGAAGCTCGCCTGCCGTTGAGGCTTCGCGTCTTAGGACATTCCGCTGTAAGGCACTAGACTGCAACGGCTCAAGTTGGGTCTTACTTGGATGCTTTGGAGCTGTCCTCTCGATATCACCGTCCACTGGCAATAAGACTTCTGAGAGCCACGGGTTTAGGGCTTAGGGCTTAGGGTTTAAGGGTTTAAAGGGAAAAGGGCCTATGGGGGCTAGACCTCATTCCCTCCTTCACGCGAAGGCCAAGCCTGGAGAGCCCCCAAAACCACAAAGAGTCACACGCAAAAACAAGGTGGAAGCTAAGAAACCAACCACAACCCCTAGATCCACAGCCCCTGAAGCCTAGAAACCCTGTGCGCCACCTAAACCCTAAGCTCTTAAACCTTATAGGGCTTAGGATTCTGACCCCCGGAACCCGAAACCCTAGCCCAAGCCCTCAAAAAGGCCCTAAACCCTAAACCCTAAACCTTAGGGTTTAAGGTTTAGCTTCTGACCCCTGAAGCCCTAAACCCTGAACCCGAAACCCTCCCCAAAAGCCCTGAAAAAGGCGGCCTCCCGAGCACCTGGGAGCGAGTGCAGGGGGAAGGCTTGGGGGCTTAGGGGTTTAGGATTTAGGGCTTAGGGTTTAGGTTTTAGGGATTTTAGGGTTTAGGGCTTAGGGTTTAGGGATTCTAGGGTTTAGGGGGGCTGGAGTTTGTGCTCTCATGTTGAAAGAGGGCCTTGCTGAAACGGTCTAGTCCTCAACCGTAATGCCCTAACCTTAAACCCAAAAGGCCCTAAACCGTAACGCCCCAAACCCAAAAGGCCCTAAATCGTAACACCCTAAACCCAAAAGCGTGTTAAGCAAAAGTTGTAGGGTTTCGCAAGAGTTTAGGGTTTTGCGGTGTAGGGCCCCAAGGCTTTGGGGTGGTACGGTTTTTGCACACTGGCCTTCATGCCTACCATCCAGAACCATTAGGGTTTACATTAACCTACTAAAACCTATTTTTTGTAGGGTCCCCATAAATTCCATACTAGAGTTTGTATTAAGAACCTACAAAAAGCAGGTTTTGGTAGGTCAAGGTAGGGTTTAGGGAGTAAGAGCTTCAATCCAATAACATCTTCCACTGCAATGGGGCTCGCAGGTTCAAGACATTGCGGGCAGTTTCTCTCCAAAGATGCGATAAGGGCCTAAGGTTCAAAAGAGAGACAGGCTTGGATAGGCACGGTGGATATTCTGTGCTGACCTCCCAATATACCTACACAGCATCTGCTGGAAACCGTCTCCCGGAAAGCCAGATTCATTGCATACGTTTCTGTTACCCTCACCACAACGTAACCAGAAGCTACCTATAACCCAACTGACCCTAACCGCCAAACCTACATGAAGCTAAGGCGCAGCTCCATGACGAGATATATGAACCGATGGTCTTCGAAGACGTCGATGAGCTTGAGGATGTTCGGGTGATCCAAAGACTCGCATGAAGTCGCCAGGGCTTTGGGTTTAGGGGCTAACTGTGAAATAACACCCCCCCCGCCAGAGCCCCAGATTCGAATTCCCAAAGGCGTAAACCTCGTAACTTGTTGAAACTTGCAAAAAGCTAAGCTACAAACCTAAAGCCCAAAATCCAAACCAGGAATGCTCCTAGTCAGTCTTATTGTAGCTCAGGTTTAGGGTGTCCTGGAATCCCCGTGGCTCCAACACCCGACTGCGCCGAAAACGTTCCCGCTATTGGATTCAAGGCGTCATAGGTTTGTCCATGGTCTGTGTGACTGGTGCTATACTCATCAAATAGCAACGGCCCAAACAGTATAAGTCTGTGAAAGGGATACGTCGGGGTTCAAGTTTCTGCGTGTACGTAATGCAGTAAGAAGCCAGAATAATTTCAAGTACTGCTCTTTCGGCCGAAAGCAATATATTTCCTAAACCTTATAAACCCTAAACCCAATAATATACCCCGAATTCCTCTGAATTCTTGTTAGTAAGGCCCTTCCGGTTGCCTTCATGATCCGGATTTCCCGGTTCAAGACCTCCGTGTCCGGCGACTGCTTGCGAAAGATCCTTGGCAAGGCACTAGAGCTTTAGGGCTTTAGGGCTTTAGGGCTTAGGGCTTAGGGCTTAGGGTTTAGGGTTTAGGGTTTTAGGGTTTTAGGGCTTTAGGGGGGGCGCTGGTGTGGTGCACTGTGCGGTTCAGGGGTGTGCAGGGCATGCTGTGTAGAGCTTCCAATCTTCCTAAACCCAAATCCTAAACCGTTCGCAAAGCTAAGCAACAAAAGCAGCCATCAAAGCCTGAAGGTTCAGGAATCAGGGTCCATCACGCCCTTTCTGGCTTCGGGCCAGCACCAAAAAGCTTCAGCACCAACTCCTCGACATCGAAGTTCGTAGACCAAACGATAACATCACAAACTCCAAACCTCGAATGCTAACGTGTTAGAAAAGAAAGCAGGCGTGTTTCGGGCCGTCTACTCTTAAGGTGAGGTAGAGATTGAGCTTTAGGCCCACTGCCAGCAAGAAGCATCTTGATCGCATACTCGACGCCTGGAGCATCGCAACAAAGGAGTCGCAGTAACCATGCAAGCATGAGTTTCCGATTGCGGTTGCGGCTGAAGGGAATTGACCTTCCATCTTAAAGCGGGTATACACTATACTCGACATTTTAGATGGATAGATCAGATAGATAACCACATAGATAGATAGATAGATAGATAGACAGATAGATGGATGGATGGATGGATGGTTGTATGGATAGATAGATAGATGGATTAGATAGATAAACTAGAATCTTCTCGATTCGGTTAGATTAGGTTAGATTGGATTAGATAGATCGGTAGACACGCAGCATGATAACTGATATCATTATCAGCATTATCACACACAACATATATTGTAACCCATCTGCGTGCGCCGGTGGTCCCAAAGTAGACCACAGAAGCAAGAAGCCTACACTTAAACAAGGTCGAATCATGAAACCCTGGGACCCTCAACCTCAAACAGCAAATCCCGAAACCTGAAAATCCTAAAGCCTATTTCCCTGATTCCTAGAACCACGTCTCAATGGAAAAGAAAACGCATTAATGATGCTGTTCGCAGTTATCACTTATAGAGTTGTTCAAGGTACCTTACTCAACTGTCGAGCTTTCGGCAAGACCTTCCGGCCTGTGGACTTGCGCACGGCCTTGCAAACCGTGCCGAAGGACCCAGTGCCCAGCCGATCAGTCTGAAAGGCATAGTACTGTCCTCAGGCTGATGTGGCGACCGCAAGTCTAAACTAATGTAGGGGCCTTAATAATTGGAATAGGGTTTTAGGGGTTCCTTATTATAACTATAGTATAATATACCCCAAACCCTATTCTAATTATTTAGCCGCCTAGAGTAACCGGAGATTTTAATCAACTCCCTCAGCCCCAAGTTTGCAGAGGAGAAGTCCAATCTCAGCGAAGAATGGTATGTTGGCGAGCCCGACTCCAAAAATGCCGCAACGCGGGGCCCTTGCGAACTTGCGATGAAGCTTGGCCGACACGAACAAATGGTCGCTGCACCCGAATTTACACAGACAAGCGAGAAACATACAAAAACACGCACACACATATATATATATATATTTATATATTACTCTATGTAACATATGCAAAATATACATATGTGTACACATATACACGCGTATACATGTGTATCTGCATACATGTATATATATACATATATATGTATGTATATATATATATATGTAATTATTCATTTGTTTGTTTATTTAATTAATTCATATATACATATATATATATACATACATACATATGTGCGCTATATATACATATACATATATATTAGATTAGATTAGACTATATTATATTATATCAGATGATTTTATATTATGTTACATTATATTATATATACCATATTATATTATACTATATTGTATGATATTTTTTGATACTATATGATATTATTTGATATTATATGATATTTCACGATATGATATGATATGATATGATATGATATGATATGATATGATATGATACTATGTTATGTTATATTAAATATATATATATATATATGTGTGTGTGTATTTTTACCACTATTCTTACAACAGCAATAACACCACCAACAACAACAAACACTACTACTACTACTACTACTACTACTACTACCACTACTACTACTACTACTACTACCACCACCACCACTACCACTACCACTACCACTACTACTACTACGACGGCGACGGTTACTACTACCACTACTACTAATACTACTACTATGATGCTTGTTAGTACTTTTTTGTATTAACGAGTCTATAGACAGAGATCGATAGATTGATAGATAGATGGAAAGATAGATAGATAGATAGATAGGTAGATAGATGGATAGATGGATAGATACATAGATAGACAGACAGATAGATAGATAGACAGCTAGATAAACAAAGTAGGTAGATCCATCGATAGATAGATGAATAGATAGACAGGTAGATAAGTAAGTAAGTAGATGCAGAAGCGTTGCTATGCATATGTGCATAAATGGTAAGTTCACATGTGTACTGGATATATGCACATATACACACACACACAAAACACACAAGTAATCACATAAGCCTACAATTCACGCACACAACATACGCGTACTCCTAATCACATACCTACATACATACATGCATGCATACATACATATAAGCATCGGAACATGCCAACATGCATGCAGGCATGCATGCATGCATGCATGCTTGCATACGTAGACGTAAACCAAAAACTGTGCGACCCCTGCAACCTAAGCACGGAACCCCAGCATCGACAAAAGAGGATGTCCCAGCACTTCATGCCCGAGATATTGAGACGCCGGGACCCTGAATGGGAAATAGTCTAAACATGCCCGGACCAAACAGCATGTCGCTGAACCCTGAGCCCTAAGCTCCAAACCTAAAGTTAGATGCGAGAGTCCAAAGTGTCAAAGCTTCGAGGTTGTTGAGGTTCGAGGGTTCAGAGTGTAATCATGTGTAAGCGTTTTGAGGCTTAGCGCTTGAGGTTCTTTGGATTTATGGAGGTAGGTTACAACGTTCTGGGTATCGGATTTGAATATTTGCGGTGTACGGGGCCTCAACTGCGTCAGTTGTCGAAGAGTCCGATGAACTCAATGTTGATCGACGATTACATTAGATGACAGGTCAAGCGACTCAAAACATCACTGGTTTAATTTACTTTCACCCTGCCCCTGAACCCGAACCCAAAGCCCTAAAACCTATAACTGAGACATTGTCAGGCGGAGATGCTAATCCTTCCACTGTTGCTTTCCGGAAGGGCCCTGCGCAGCTGTGCTTCGGTTCCCCACCTATTTACAAACCCTTAGTTTAGGGTTTGTAAATAGGGTTTAGGGCTTAGGGTTTCTATAGGGTTCAGAGCCCCAAAACCTTACGCGAGGGCTCGGACTCATAGCCCGAAATACCCTGAAGCCTCAAGCTGAAGCTTGTCCTAGGTAGGTAGGTAGGTAGGTAGGTAGGTAGGTAGGTAGGTAGGTAGGTAGGTAGGAGGCTTTTAGTGTTTCAGGCTTATCGGGTTGGGGGTTTTAGGGCTTCAGGGTTTAGGGCTTAGGGCTTTTAGGGTTTAGGGGTTTCCCCAACCAGCTTGCAATCGCTGAGCCCAGTCTCCGAGAAATCAGAACGACATCAGAGTTCCAAAGCCACGAACAACCGTGGCATTTCGCCTAACTACGGTTTAGGGTTAAGGGTTTTTAGGGCCTTTAGATTCTTGAAAGAAGCTGCAAGAAACTTCCGGAGCGTTTCCAAGCGTATCAGCGGCACGGCTTCAACCTTACCGACACAGCCCGAAAGACGCCATAACACCAAGACCCGGCACACAACATACAAGATGCACAAGCGCACGCACCCCAAGCCTAACAACAACTCTGAAGCCATCAATCCCAATAACTCGACAGGGATATGGTTTAGGGTTTAGGGTTTATAAGGGTTTAGGGTATATGGGTAGTTCTCCAAATTAGGGTCCCTTTTTAGGTCGCCAATATAGTACGGCACCCTTATAAAAGGTCCCCTCAAAGGGACCCTAAATTAGAGAACTACCCATATAGGGATTCATGTTTAGAGCCCTCAGCTGGCCCACAACTTCTAAAACCGCAAACCCCTAAACCCCCCTAAACCCCTAAACCCTAAACCCTCTAAAACCCCCTAAAACCCCCTAAAAGCCCCTAAACCCTAAAACCCGGACTGAGGGCGCCTGGAGCGCTCCGCCTGTCCGTCCGACCGCAGTAGCCGCACCTCTAGTGCTCGGCGCTGAAGGATTTCAGGAGGTTTAGGGTTTTAGGGCTTAGGGTTGTAGGGT